TAAGAAGATTGGCATTGTTTTATAATTTTGCATATTTTTATTGACTGGTTTAATAGAAGACATCTGGATTCTCATATCTGCTTCTTCATGCAATCTGTTGCAACATCACACTTTATGCAGTGTCTGGAATATTTGACTGTACATTTGTGAGAGAATGAGACTGGAAAAAATAATATTTTTGGTTTATCATAAAAATAATTTTGATCCTGCAGACCCACTTAAAAGGTCTCAGAGACCACCCTCAAGTTCCCCAATCACACTTTGAGAACTGCTGCTTTCTTAGAAAGGCATATTGAGAAGAAGTTGAATTTTAACTAATTCACAGATAATTTAGGCAAGGTATTACCTGATAGGATTTGCATTTTACAATTATTGCTCTCAGGGTGGGGAATAAATTGGAGATAGGAAAGGCTAGATGATTGGAAAGTAATTAAATTTGGACAATTTCTCACATTCTATCTGAAATAAATATTTTTACAAAGTTTTATAAAATGCCGGTAATACTTTTTACTAGTATTTACTAATCCAGTTTACTCTGCTCAAGAAAAAGTTACTTGAAAGCAGGTATTGCTTTTGATTTGTCCATATGACTATGACTTTTGGTAATGAGTACAGAGTAAGCACCAAGTAAAGATTTGTTGAAAATAAATGAAAGAACCAACTAAGTGGCTATCAGGATAGTGCAGATAAAAGACAATATAGTCCTGACAATAATGACAGTGGCAAAACAGAGGAGTAAATTCAAGAGATGAGCTGAATTCACTGTTGACTGCCTGGAAATGTCATTGATCTACCTGACAGATACAGGATATGAAGGAAAGAGAAGGTTTACCAGCATGTCGGCCATCTACCTACTTCATGTGGCCCTGATTCAGGGAGTATTGAAGGGAAAGAATGGGGTAGAGTATGAAGGGGTGACTTTTGGCTTCATTTTGAATATGATGAATTCCAGATGCCTATGGGTCTTGAGCCTCTCATAGCACCTGAGGCTGTTTTAAAGTTACGTAAGCGTTTTATCTAATTAAGCCAAGATCATAGTATATTCTAATATTTGTTTTCAATGCTTTAATATTTTAGTATTTGTTTTTAGTACTTTTGATGTGTTAGTGTTTATTTTTAATGTCTTAATATTTTAAATATTTAATCAGAATTCTTGGATTTTTGCTGGCCTAAATTTCCAGTTCTATTAGTGGGTGCCGATTTACTGTCAACCACATGGGATTAATTTGGCTGCTACACAGTGGACGCTATTTTGCTTTCTGATTTACTGTAATGTACTTCTAGATTCCATCTAGAGTTTGGGAAGCTGAATTATTCCTACAACTGTGTGAAGGAATCTGCAGACCCCATTCTTAATATGCATGTATGGTAGTAAGTAGAAGACACAGCATTTGACTTATTTACAGAAACTGAGCAAGTCTCCTGTCACCATCCTCCCACTCTGCAAGTCCCAATTAAAGTTGATGACACATTTAAAAGTATAAATATCAGCAAGTATGGATTTTAGTAGTTCACAATCCATCAGATAGACAACATGTGATTGAAAATAAAGAGGCATTACACAAAGAGGAAGTTTTGAACAATTTAAAATGAATTCAGAAGGTAACAAAACAAACTGGCTTTATGTTTCCAACAGAGTAGCCCCGACAGACAGAAAGGAACCCTTTAAACACTAAAAGAATTTAGTTCTCATATCCTTTATTGCTGCTTTTCTTTTCATCTGGCTGGAGTTGCTGTTTTATGTAGTACTTCCCCATTTAGCACCATCCTGTCTTTACATTTTGCTTCCAACCTACTCTGTAAGTCTAATTGTTGCCCTGTCCCAGGAAGATGTGAGTCATTTTAAAGTTAGAAAGAGAAGCATCTGCATAGATAGAAAATAGTTATCATTTCATTATAATTACTCTATTTTTTTCTCTTAATTATGCTGAAAATATATCAATATCTCCAAAGAATGAATGACTACCACCTGTCATAAATGTGGAAGGCAGCCCTCAACTCTAATTACTTTTATAACTTCAAATTAAAAATATAGTGCTTAGAAAAGTTTGAGCTCTTGATATAATTTCTATTGGTTGCATAATTTAGTGAGTTACAGAAATTGTGCAATTTAAGAAAAATAAGATATACTTTGAAAAGTATATTGTGTTTGCCTTTCACCAATTATTTGCGTATTTAATAAAGCACATACTGAATACATAAAACTGAACATGCATGAATTTCATTACAGATATTTCTATAATTTAAATGGATACCTTAACATTATTTCTAAGATCGTATAAGGATACTCATGGTAATATGTGAAGTACAGATACAAAACTAAAATACACCAAGTTTCTGGTGTCATCTAATAGAATTTTTATGCTCCCCAATAGACAATTAGGGAGATTAGTTTAAAAAGGAACCAAAGGTATATTTTATCAGATATATTATTATTATTGGGAGCAGTGCCACAGTTTCTTTCTCCTCTCATTTACATACAGAAAGGAATTTCTGCTCTTTTTTGCTTTTGGAAATTCTGTCTTTACTTCTAAGGTGTTACTTCAGACTTTGAAATATGGTGGGCCACATTTTAGTCTTGGACAGAGTCATGGTTCACATGTTACAGGCCCTCTTGCTGTCTCATTTGCTTCAATGCTCAGGCATAAGGGGCACTCTTGGGTTTTTTGTTAACATGCTTGGGCGGTGTCCAGGATCTACCTTTAGTAGAAATGCTGGCCCTCCTTCTTACATGTACTCTCTTTTACCACTGATTCTGTATGTTAGTAGGACCTGGCATCTGCAAACAGGGATATTTTTACTTCTTTCTTAATTACTTGGAGAGTTTAATTTCTTTTTCTTGTCTGATTGCCCTTGCTCATGCTTTCAGTACTATGTTTAATGCCAAGAGTTTTCTCTTTTCCTCCTATGGGATCTTAGAGGAAAAGCTTTCAGTTTTCCCCCTTGATTATTATGTTAACTGTGGGCTTTTCACAAATGAGTTTTATTGCGCTGAGAAAATCTCCTTCTATACCTATTTTGTTGGGAGTTTTTATCATAAAAGGATGCTTAACGTTGTCAAATGCTTTATCTGCATCTATTGAGATTATCATGTGGTTTTTATCTTTTATTCTGTTAATGTTATATATCACACTGATTGACATAGGCAAATGGAACAGAATAGAAAGCTTAGAAATACACCCAACCACACATGATCAACTAATTTTTAACAAGGGCACCAAGAACATACAATGGGGAAAGGATAGTTTCTTCAATTCATGGTGTTGGGAAAGCTGGATCTCCACATGCAAAAGAATGATATTGGACCCTTATACTATACACAAAAATCAAATGGAAGTAGATTAAAGGCCTAAATATAAGAAATGAAATTGAAATTTCCAGAAAAAAATACATAGGGGAAAAGTTCCTTGACATTGGCCTTGGCAATGATTTTTTGTGGCTATCATACCACAAGCATAAGCAACAAAAGCATGTATAAAAATTGGGACTACATCGAACTAAAAAGCATCTGTACAATAAAGGAAACAACAAAATAGAAACACAGCTTATGGCTTAAGAGAAAATATCTGCAAACCATATATCTGATAAGAGCTAATATCCAAAATATATAAGGAACTCACTCTAATGAATAGTAATAATAAAAATACCCAACTGAAATATGAGCAAAGGACATCAATATACATTTTTTCAGACATAACTAAATATGGCCAATAAGCATATCAAAAGTGCTCAATATCATTAATTACCACAGAAATGCAAATCAAAACCACAATGAGATATCACTTCACACCTGTTAGGATGGATATTATCAAAAAGACAAGAGATAACAAGTGTTGTTGAGGGTATAGATAAAAGGGAACACTTGCACTCTGTTGGTAGGAGTGTAAATTGGTATAGCCATTATGACAAATAGTATGGAGATTCCTCAAAAGATTAAAACTAAAACTATCATATGACCAGCAATCCCTTTTCTGGTTGTATACCTAAAGGAAGTGAAGTCAGCAGCTTATGGAGACACTATTGCAGCATTTTTCATAGTATCCAAGATATTGAAACAATCTAAGTGTCTGTCGATGGATGAATGCTTAAAGAAATTTTGATAGAGTATATATATATATAATATATATAGATACACACACATATATATGTATATATATGTACATATATATATACATGTATATATATATGTGTGTGTGGGTATACATACATACTTTGTGCCATGTGAGGTCATAATCATAAAGAGGAATCTAATCAGCTGATTCCTTGATACACACACACACACACACACACACACACACACACACACACACGAAAATTATTAAGCCTTAAAATAGGAGATCCTGCCATTTGCAGCAACATGGATGAACCTGGAGGCCACTATGCTAAGTGAAATAAGCCAAAGACAGAGAGAATACTTCATGATCTCAGGGATACGTGGAATCTAAAAAAAGCAGAATACATAGAAACAGAGTAGGATGGTAGCTAGCAGTGTTGGTGGGAGAGGGAAATGGGGAGATGTAGTTCCAAAGGTACAAAATTGCAGTTATGTGAGATGAATAATTCTAGAGATCTTATATACAGCATGAGGACTGTAACATTGCATTGCTTGCTGGAAATTTGCTAAGTCAGCATATTTCTGGTGCTCTTATTACAAATAAAGGTAACTATGTAAGGAGATGTATATGTTAATTTGCTTAACTGTAGTAGCAATTTCACTATGTGTCTGTAGATCAAAACCTCATGTTGTACACCTTAAATATATACACTAAAAACAACAACAACACAGGACCCAGGACGAGGGTTTGAATCATGGTCTTGGCCTTTTTCAGTTGTATAGTCTTGGGCAAGCTATTTAACATTTCTATGTTTCTGTCTCACTGTATATAAAGTGATACCAATTATACCAATTACTTCAAAGAGAATTGTGGGATAAATAAATTAATATAAACTGATCAAATTATTTAATTAACATTAAATAAATTAATAGTTTTGAAATGCTTAAAACATTTCATGGTACATAGTGAGCACTAACTATGTAAAGGTTAGCTGTCATTATTATTAGTGTCAGCCTGTTATGTACTGTGTATTTGTGTCTTCCTAAAATTCGTATGTTGAACCACTACACCCTAATGGGATGCTGAAGCTTTTTGGATATGATTACAGTTAGATGGGGTCATGAGATGGGGTCTTTACATGGGACTAACGCACTTATTAAAAAAGGAGGAGATCAAGGATATTTCTCTCTCTCTTTCTGCCATATGAGGACATAATAAGAAAGAGGGCTTTCTTTCACCTGGAATGTAATCAGCTGGCACCTTGATTTTAGACTTCCTAATCTCTAGACCTGTGAGGAGTAAATGTCTGGGTTTTCTGTTTTGTTTTTGTTTTTGTTTTTGAGGCAGAGTATTTCTCTGTTGCCCAGGTTGGAGTGCAGTGGTGCAGTCTCAGCTCACTGCAACCTCTGCGTCCCCAGTTTCATGCCTCAGCCACCAATAGCTGGGATTACAGGCATGTGCCACGACCTCCGGCTAATTTTTGTATTATTATTATTACTTTTTTTAGTAGAGACGAGGTTTCACCATGTTGGCCAGGCTGGTCTCGAACTCCAGACCTCAAGTGATCCACCTGCCTTGACCTCCCAAAGTGCTAGGACTGCAGGTGTGAACCACTATGCCCAGCCTAAATGTCTGTTGTTTAAGTCATCCACCCTACAGTATTTTTATTACAGCAGCCCAAACTGACTAAGATAGCCAGAGAAAATTCTGTGGTCACAAAGCTCAAGACACTACTTGATTCTAAATATTTCAACATTTGTGTCAATGGCTTGAACAGTGATATTAAAGGCCTGTGATACAAAATTGGGAGCTATTGCTCTGATGCTAGGCTAAAGTCAATGAAATGAAATATATTTTGGTCCACTAAAACAAAGGTTTACATGTCAAATATTTGCCAGCATTGTGATATATTTATTTTAAATATGTGAGCGCCATGTTGTGATCTGTTTCACAGCTTGAGTTGCAAATACAGCTAAACAAACTTGTTTGTTTTTTTTTTTTTTTCCAAAAATAAAATACATGGCCAGGTGCAGTAGCTCATGACTGTAATCCTAGCACTTTGGGAGGCAAGGTGGGTGTATCACCTGAAGTCAGGAGTTCGAGACGAGCCTGGCCAACATGGCGAAACTCCATCTTTACTAAAAATACAAAAATTAGCTGGGCGTGGTGGTGGGCACCTGTAATCCCAGCTACTTAGGAGGCTGAGGCAGGAAAATCGCTTTAACCTGGGGGGTGGAGGTTGCAGCGAGCTGAGATTGCACCACCGCACTCCAGCCTGGGTACAAGAGCAAATTCTGTCTCAAAAAACAAAATAAACAAATAAATAAATGTGATTCAGTTATATAGGATGAATAAGTTCTAGAGTTCTGCTGTACAACATTATCTGTGGTTAACAATACTGTATTGTGTACTTAAAATTTGTTGAGGATAGATCTCATGTTAAATGTTTTAAATAAGCAAGCAAGCAAATAAATAAATAATATATGTGATTTCATATATCATAGGACCAAATTAGCAGAAAATCCAATATCTTTTCTCTTCTCAGCACCTTTAACTTCAATTTGTTGAAAACTTAGGACTTATAGAGACTTAAATATCTGCAAGTATCATGGGAATGGTAGGTCATTCCAACTTCTAAGCCCACATGAGGATTATGTACTAAGTTCATTAATGTTTTGTCTTATCACTGAAACATAAAGACATTTTCAACAACCAGTCCTATAACATTACAAATTCCACCAGTAAGAATCTTTGAGGGAGACTGATTCATTCCTGAAGTGCTTATCTCAACCATGAAGCCTCTCACTTTGGGCACTCATGGACATACTTCTTAGGACTCAGAAGTGTGCACATTCATCAACATGTAATATGCCCCAGAAGTGTGCACATTCATCAATATGCAATTTATCTCATATTCAGCTAGAGTACAGTATCAAAACTGGTTTAGGACTGCAATGGACTGAATGCTTATGTTCCTCCAAATTAGTATATTGAAATTCTAACCTCCAAGGTGATGGTATTAGGAGGTAGCATCTTTAGGTGGTGATTAGTTCATAAGAGTAGAGCCCTAATGAATGGGACTAGTGCCCTTATAAAAAAGACAGCTAACCTGTCCCTTCCACAATGTGAGAACCCAGGTAGAAAGTACCATCTATGAACCAAAAGCAGGCCTTACCAGACACTGAATCTACCTGCACCTTGATCTTGGACTTCCTAGACTCCAAACAGTGAGAAATAAATTTCTGTTGTTTATACACTACAAATTTTATAGTATTTTGTTACACCAGCCCAAATGGACTAAGAGAGCATGGCAATAGGAAAATTAAAAAAATTAAAGATCAGTTATTTGCTGCTGTACAGCTGGGGTCAGCAGACAGGATTGAGTGCAAAGGAGCATGAAGGAACTTTTGTGCAGATGATGACAATATTCTATCTATCTTATAATTGCCTTGATAGGTATATGACTGAATACATTTCTTAAAACTCATCAAGCCATACACCTAAAATGAGTGGATTGAATACAAATTATGCCTCACTAGAGCTAATTCCTCTATGTCTTCTTCATTCCCACACCCTAAAGAACTGAAGCTTCACTTTCATCTTGCTAAACATGAAGTGTCTTGTAGTACTTACAATCTCCAGGGAGCTTTATATTCCCCTATTTTTTAAATTTTAAGTTTTAAATTAAATTTAATAAATTATTCTTTCAATGGTGATTTCAAACATTTTCTTATTTTACTCTATTTTTACATAAGTGGAGGGGTGTCCTTTCCTCTTTAAAAACTTCACTTGACAAGATATTTAATGAATCCTTATTAAATGTCAGGCAATGTTATAGGTGCTATGGATACAGGAGCGAGAAAGACAAATAAGAACCCATGTCCTGATGTATTAATATTAGATTATATGCTAAGTAGAAATATAAAGCAGAAGATAAAGATAGGAATGATGGGATGGGGTTGTGTTTGTTGCAATTTTTTAAAGTCTGGACAAAAAAGACATCACAGAGAATGTACTGATTGAACAGACTTTAAGAAGAAAAAGGAAGGCACATGGAGATATACCTATGTATCTATATCTATGTCTAATATTCCAAGCAGAGAAAGCAGAAAACATGACTTTTCTAAGAAGAGATGATGCCTGGAATGATTGAAGAACAGCAAAGGGGCCAGAGTGGCTGGAGCAGACCGCAAAAAAAGGAAGTGTAGAAGACATGAGGCCTGAGAGGTAGCATGAGGCCAGATTATTTACAACCATATGGCTCACTTGAAACGGTTAAGGCTTTCCCTTAAATATGATGGTAGGATGTCTTGACAAGAAAACTGACTTTGGAACAAAGGTTTGTGTGTGAGCCATTTATTTGGGGGGAGTATGCCTCAGGAAGCAGCAGTGAGGACCAAAGAATTCCAAGTAGGAAAAAAACAAAACAAAACAAAACCCAAAAAACAAAAACAAAAACAAAAACCCACTGAGTTGGCTATTGCTACAAGTAACTAGTGGCTCTATCCATGGTATCATGTAAAAAAGTTGTATTAAATGTGCCCCAGGAACATTCACGCAGGGGTTAAAAGGGAGAAATGTTTATCCTTGAGATTCCATAGTTTTGTTGAAACTCTCTAACGTGCATTAAACTCATCTCCAGTTCTGTGTTGCATATTTACTGTTGCACCCCATGCCGTAATTTAGTAGGGAAGTCCAAGGCAGGAAGTGTAAGACATGTAGAGTAAGGCTCAAATGTAATGTTCTCAGGATATTACTCCATCAAGTTGGTCAGAACCCAGATAGAACTAGTCATTGCAATTGTATTTCTGTAGACAGGGTACAATTGCAATATGAAATGTATAATAATGGTGCCAGTTACAATAGCATCAAAAGATGCCAAATGCCTAGAAATAAATATAATTAACATATCTAAAATCATTTCGCAGAAAACTATAACTGAAAGAAACGGTACAAAGAGAAATTCAAAATACAGAAGAAAATGAAGTTGTATACATGTTCATAGATTGGAAGACTCATTATTGAAAAGATGCCAATTTTCCCAAAATAGTTTTGTAAATTCAATACAATCTAAATAAAATTTCTAGCATGGTGTTTATATATGTGTTTTGCGGCCAGGAAAGGAAATTTGAAATTAAAGAATACAAGTACAGATAAAATATATTTGAAGAAGAAAAATGTTGGAGAAATTATATTTGTAGTTATCAAGATTATGATTCAGATAGTGTGCTGATGATACAGAGACAAACAAATAGTCAATGAAATAAAACAGAGAGTTCAGAAGCATGCCCACACACATAAGGGCATTCAAATGATTTTAAAATGGGTATAAATAAGTCATAGAAGATTATCTTTAAGAGCTTTGGGAAGAGGAAAAATTTCCCCCAAAGTAAAGGGAAAGATGGATATATTGGGCTATTTTAAAAGTAGGAACTTCTGTTCATCAAATGATAACATTTAAGATTTTTAAAACCAATATATTTGCAACTGATATGCACAAAGGAAACATATAGATTAATGAAAAAAGTTGGAAGACCCAAGTGAAAAAAGGTATAATAAATTTTTAATATCCTCTATAAAAGCATGAAAATAGCTTATGATCCTATGGAAAGATGCTCAACCTCATTATTAATCAGGGAAATTCAAAGTAAAACCACAATGAGATGTCCACTAGAATACTACAATTTAAAAGACAGAAAATATCCAACATTGTTGGTAAAGAGCTTTCATTTATTTCTTACTAGGGTGTATGGTGAAAAGAACTATTTTGGAAAATTACTTGGCAGTATCTATTAAATTTTCAGATATGCAGATCCCCTGATCCAACAATACCACTATTAATTATGCCCAACAGAAAAGCACACATATGTGCCTGAAAAAACATAGGAAAGAATGTTCATACAAGCATTATTCATGATATCCTCAACTTGGAAACAACCAAAATGTCATGCAAGAATGAAATGGATAAGTAAGTTGTCTATACACACAATGACATGTTATACAGCAATGAAGTAAGGACAGCTACTGCACAAAACTTTATGGATAAATCTCACAAACACATAGAGCAAAAGAAGCCAGGTAAAAGAGAACTCAATTATGTGATTGCATTTGCAGAACGTTCCAAAACAGGCAAGTAATTTGTTGCTGGAAGGCAGCATAGTCATTACCTTTTCAGACAAGGGAGGGATTATGATGGGGCCTCGGGAGCAATGGTAAGGTATTATTTCTTAGTCTGAGTGCTTTATGTGGGTAGGTTTATTCTGTGATAACAAATGCTATACACATATGATTTGCTTAGCTTTGTATATGTAATATATAATATTTAAGAGCTTATAAAATTGTTGTACCTACCTTAATGTGTTCCTAAAAATAAATGAGACAATACATGTCTCACGACTGGCACATAGTAGGTGCACGATTGATGTTAGCTAATGGCATAAAGAAAGAAACTACATAATCTTTGGTTTTAAGTAGAACAGTAAATTAGTCTAGAGAAAGAAAGAGTTGTTAAGAACTGACCTCCCAAATCCCATTCAGATTAAGAGGTTATGAGAACTGAGAGGGGGGAAAATAATCATTTAGCTGCCACTGAGAATATTTATTATGGGGGGAAAGGACTAGAGAGGAATGCCCTAAAGAGCACTAAAACATGAATAAGTGGTGGTTTTTGTCTATGTTGTGATATAAGTTATCAAGCTTGTATTAGACCAAGTAGGGTATTCAAGCAAGAGAGTATAGCTAGATAGATTTAGATAATAACAAACCATTAAGATAGGTTGCTAACTCATTTCTCTTGTTCTTTTCAAAGATAGCTACATTATTGGTGGAAAACAAATTGAAAGGACATTTGTATTTGCAGTGTTTTATTTTTTTATTTTTGCATTCTTAGCCCATGCTGCTTTATTGCTAAGACATATATATACAGAGGTGCAGAGTTGCTAACTCTTTTAACAGTTCCATTTTACATCAAAGAATTACATGTACAAACGTTCTGATTTATATTTATAGATATATTTATTTCATATGTTTATCTTATATATTTACA